GTCAGGAACCACAAATCTGTGATTTTTTAAAAAAAACATGAATTGATGTCATAATGAGGTTTAAATGGAGACTCTCTGTCTACATTGCCTCCCAAAGGAGAGGGGTTCCCCTTCTACCCTGGGCATAGTGCCTCCTTCTGCTGTGCCGCTTAATGCAAATGTAAACAAAAAGGAGAATCAAATATGAAGGCTGAATTCATTTCCAGCTGGCTGTCACGGATTTTCACTTTGCTCTCTTCACAGTTCACAAGGGCACCTTTCAAGTCTGGTTTATACAGAAGATGCTTAAAAGGGTACAGCCTACAGCAGAAATACAGCACTGATTGTGAGTTTGGAAACAAAGTTGCTTAGAAAGGCAATCCATATGGAACCTTTATTGTAGAAATATTTAACGCTACTGTTATTGGAGCAACTGAAAATAAAAGAGGAAATATCATATGAACAGCTGTTTTTTCTACCTGTCCGGAAAACTAACGTGTTATTATAAATCTATGTCTCACAACATGGAGCTGGCTCCACTGTCTAGGTAGCCTTAAGTGGTTGCCTGTAGCAGCAAGATATTAGGGGCAGCAAAATGTTTAGTGATTATTAATTGTATGAGCATAGGCGGGGTGGTGCAGACATTTTCCAGTTTGCTGTGGGCAACAAAAACCCTAGAGACATCCCTGGCATCCCCAGATCTTACACATACAAGTAAGCAATTAAAATGTGTAGGGTTTCCTAGGAAGAAAATAATTTTTAAACTACTAGTCCAACTGCAGAGAATAATGGAAGCTTATACCTTTAAAAATATCACAAATATGATACACACTAATCAGTTCATTACAGTATGTGTACCGCTGTCCTCTAGTGGAATCAGAACTGCTCCGTTGTGTGTTCATCTACTAATAGGTAAAGAGTCATCACCTAGAACTTTCATTCATGGAACATTCAGACAGTCACTTGTAGTTGAGAAAGCATTTGCAGGTCCTGAAAGTGGCAGGAATTTAAGCACACATGTTTATTTGTGCAAAAATTCCTGCTATACAGGCATTATTCACTATTCTCCTTTTGAGTCACCCATAAAGGATGCAGATACAGTATCACGTGGGTTTGGTGACAAACGGTAAAACATGGATAATGAACACTTTGTCAAGAACCTATAACCTGAAAAATATTTTCCAAACTATTTGACAAACAAAAACTAAAATTGGAAAAGAGTCGGGATCAGTTTGTGAACATTAGCCAAAAATAAGGCTAAATTTGCAGCTAATAATATTCATAATAAATAGACTGATCACCTTTAGGTATAACTCTGATGCTCCCAAGTGACTGAAAGTTTGATACTTGTTATGCTAGATGATGTTAATGGCAGCTTTGATATAAATCAACCAGACTTGGTTAAAACTGATATGTGTGCTAAGCACCTTTCAGGCTAAATGAAAGGAGAAATTAAATGCCCCTTTATATAGTGATAGCTAGGAACAATAGGAAACCACTGCCCAAGGCAATGGGCCATATGGCAAGGCTGATGAGATGCTAAGCCATGTGCGCTGAGAGGTTTCCCAGGAAATGAATGTAAATGCAGGGGTTGGGAAACCGATGGGTTGCGGCTGTAGCTATGTCTACACTACAAGTGCTAGAGTGGCCACTGTAGTGTAGACACTTTCTACAGCAATAGAAGGCATTTTTCTTCAGTCGCCCTAGCAGCATCTATAATAAGGTTTAGGGCAGATTAATTATGTCTCCCAGGGGTATGAATTTTTCACACGCCTGAATGATGTAGCTAAGTCGACTCAAGTTTTAGGTGTAGACCAGCCCTGTGTGGCAGAGAGGCAGAAAGCAATGGAAACAGTGGTAAGTGACCCTAGGAGCAGGCAAAAAGACACTTATAGGCATGGTATTCTCTGGAAAGGCAGACTTGGATTTCTGAGCAAAGAATCTGCCTGCAGCTGTTTGTTTCTAGTGTGTTCATGGGTGTGCTTGCAGAAATGGCATTAAAATCTTATGCATACCTAACATTGTTCTGAAGTGGAGAGGGTGCCAGTTTGGCCATTTTGAACTGAAAGACTCTAACCCATCTCTGTATATTTGAGTGTATAGAACATTTTCTCAATGTGATTAGCTACCTCTGTATAAAATATTCCCTCATGGACAGTTCATTTATTCTTTTTTTAAAATAAATATTGGATGAAGGAAATTATAACCTTATGGCCCAACTTTCAGATACCAGGTTGAACACTATGGAATGGATTTACTGTTATTCTACCCCTCCCCCCTTGAATAACCCAGAGTGAATATGCTGGGCACTCTAATTTCTCTCTTTTCTCAGAAGCTGAAACCCCATAGGTACAGTTCCTCTGCACTCATTATGCATCTCCTGGGTACACAACTCAAACAAGAGCTACCTTGTGCTAACAGTGAGTTGATTTGCTTGCACTCATCAAAGTGAAGTGATCGCTTCACAGAGGGAAATATTTTGCACTTTAGAATAAAAAAAAACATTCTTCCAATAAAGTTGTAGAGATGCTGGATAGTTGCAGATTTTTCTTTCCATATTTTGATATTGCTAAGCTGCCATACATTTATAAACAACTGGTAGAAGTTCTTTTTTCAACATGTAATTCTTCGGAAGAGTCATGGCTGAAGAGTATTTTTCAGGATACTATAGTGTTGCTGTAAACCTTGTCTTTCCTAACCCCATCCCCTTAATATCTTTTATCACTCTCACTGTGTTAAGGATAATTTTTGAGCCCTAATCCCGCTATACTTAGGAGATCAAGTTGCAGGACTGAGGCCTTGATCCCCAATCCTGCAAAGACTTAGTTTGGGGCTTAAATTAATAGGAATACTTGGGTTTAATATTAAACATATCAGTAAGTGTTTACAGGATTTGGGTGTTAGACTGCTTGGGGGAAGAGATTCTTATGACACCTGTGAGAATACTCCCTGGGATTTCATAAAATAATAATTTTAGAGCAACTCTTTCTGCAAGATTTTTTTACATACATAAAATGTCATACCTTTCCCGAAGTTGGTTTTTTGCCCTTTAAAATTTATAGCATCTCAACTTTCTGTTTTTGTTGTTGTTTTAAACAATGTAAGACTGCTTCATGGCAGATGAAAAACGTTATTTATCATTACACCAGTAGGATTACTGGAAAATATGCAGATCTTAAGCCATCTATTACCATTGATTCCCCAGATTTCCTTCTCCAACCCCTTCTTCCTCTACCATAGAACCACTTTCCTTTCAGTTTGGTTGGTAATGTCTCCTCCTAGGATAGAAAATTACTTTTAGTCAGCCCACAAATAATGCCAAAGGGAGGTGTGGTTTGCACGCTCACTTTTTCTCTCCATAATACTGACTTGATCTGACTTAGTCAAGAACACTTCCAAGGTCATATCTACAAGCAAGTTTCCTGAGCACAGCTATGTGCAGGCTTCATACTAGTGAGCCAGTTAGAGCATGTTTAATTTAATGTGACGTGTTTTAGAAACATCTCTGAAGTAGGACTGAATAAAAATGAGCATTTGTATAGACAAAAGGAATTAATTTGTTAGTCTCTAAGATGCCACAAGTACTCCTTTTCTTTTTGTGAATACAGACTAACACAGCGGCTACTCTAAAACCTGTCATTTGTATAGAGTATTTTTCCTAAAATGAAATTCAGTTCTCAGAAGCTTCTCAACTCAGCTTCCAATTTTTGCATCAAACCACCAGAGGCAAGCAGTCCCAGCAGCATTTTACATGGTTGGAGACAGATGAGGCTAGGCAAACTATGGCCTTCAGAAAGAAGAGAAGCAGGAAGAATTCCAAACAGCTAGAAGTTTCAAATAGATACCAGGTCTTCAACATGGAAACTACAGAAAATACTTCCCAATATTAAGGAGGTCAAAAGGAACGAAGAGACATACAGGACATGTGTGGAAGGCAGATCGGCCCAACCTATAAGAAAATCCATTTTAACTGCAAAGACTTCTCCAACTGTCCAAGGCACACCGATGATCCTTCTTGGAGATTCAATACTGAGAAAAATCAAAAGACCATTCTGCAAGGGATACATGGACAACAGGATGGTGTGCTGCCTTCCTGGAGCCAAGACACATGATGTGACTCTAAAATTGGATAGGCTTATGAAGCCAATGTTCCAGGATCCATTGGTGATGGTTCATATTAGCACTAAGACATTTCATCGCAGGATATCTTGCACACAGTGGATTACTTCAGGGAACTTGGAAGCATGCTGAATGAGAAGAATGTTCAAGCCATCTTCTCTGAGATCTTTCCTGTCTCTCAAGCACATGAAGACAGAAAGCAAAGAAGATTCTGCAAGTGAATCACTGGCTAGGTAAGTGGTGCAGTATGGAGGGGTTTGGTTTGTGGAACATTGGTCCACATCCTATGGGGAGAGAGGGCTGTATAGTTTGGATGGCCTTGACCTCAGTAAAAGAGGGACCAATTTTCCCTGAGGCAGGCTGGCTATAGTTGTCAGGAGGGGGTTAGACTAAGAGCAAAAGGGAAGGGTTAAAAGAGGGAAGATATAAGCACTCAGCACAAAATTGAGATATTGAGAACAAAATTAATCAAGAAACCAAAAGACATGAAGAAAATAAATTCTTTAATTGCCTATACACCATAAACTCAATCAAGCTGGTATTTCTGAAACTTGGTGGGATAATTCACACAATTGAAATGTTAAAATCAATGCTTATAACCTATTTAGGAAGGATCGAGTGAGCAAAAGGGGAAATGTTACTAGAGAAATTCTCTAGCCTCCATTTTGTGTGCCTGACTCTATTCTGAACAGACAAAAGCTATTCCCTTCTAAATTGGCAATTTTAAACATGCTCAGTACTGAGATAGGGTGAAATGTTCAGTTAATTAGCAGAAAGCCCAGAATTTGTAAGATGGTGCCCTGACAGAAAGCCAAATGTGTATGTGTGTCGGCAGAATCTCAACTCCAAGGTAAACAGCAGTGAGCATGTGCAAAATTGGTGGCTAGTGAGCCTGTGCAGTGAAGGGTGACAGAAAGGTCAGTTAGCTGATCAGCTGGCTGGTCATAGCTGACTCATATTGGTTACAACTTGTTCTAAAGGTCAACGCTGTCACTGGTGCTCTGAAGTCATGGTTGATACTAAGTATGTGTGAATGAGGTAATTGCTTCTAAGAACAGAAAGATATATTAGAAGAGGGCAAGACTATAGCATAAAAGCTCAGCTGTCAGCAGGCAGGATTTGAATTAGAGAAAGAGAGTTGATTGGGAGAAGATGGACAAATTGGAACTCAGCCAGGGGAGCCAAAGAAGAGCTACTGGAAAGAAGTTTGAAAAGCTACTGCAGAAGGAGAGAGAGAAAAGACAACCGGAGCAGAGCAAAGCTGACTGATTAGGAGCTGAGCCGCAACAGTGATTAAAGAAAAATACCAAAACAGCAATGGTGATTTAAAGGGATACCAACGAATTTATAAAGTAAGTCTGCCAGGTTTTTTTAAAATATAAATTTTAGTGTAGTGTGGTCTAGCATAGTATTTAATAGGTGTGTGCTTGAAAAGTGTGTGTGTATTGATTGAATCTTACTTATGTAAAACAAAGCATAATTTAAGAACTGCTATCAGCAATTTGTTACAAACGAGCCATTGGTAGCAAAGTGCTTCACTTACAATCATTTAAATTGTACGCTATTTCAGTTTGAACGCTCTTTAACTTGCAGTATATAATCTGTGTTTCATTTCTATTTCTAGATTACACTGTAGTAGGGATTATTAGTTATTTTAATAAAAAGATACTTTGTTTTGGAGGATAAAATGCCTATGTCAATTTATTGGAAGGTTATATCTGTGTTCTTTAGTGATTCCTTAACAACCCCAAAACTCATACCTCAGGAAGAACAGACGAAGGAGGTGATAGGCAGGTTATTTTAGGGGTGTTCCAAATCCATTTTTTGGGGTAACAGAAGAGTGGCACTCTACATCAAAAATGATATTATCGGTTTCCGAGTCACTGATATCTTGGAAGAAAATGATCTTGAATGCTTATGGATCAATGTCCAAACAGATAAAGCATAAGATGGTCTGTAGCAGACATCAACTAGTACCCAAACAAGTCACACTAGGAAATATGATGACTGCTTCCCTACACATTTATCCACAACATACAGGAAAAAAAACTGTGTGATCATGGGGATTTCAATTTGAGTGACATATGCTGGAGGTCTCATGCTGCCAATACTAAAACATCTTTGGAATTTCTAAACATAACAAATGACAATTTCCAAACTCAAAAAGTGTTCAAGCCAACATGGGAGAGTTCTTTATTAGACTTTGAACAAACAGATAAGGAAGAATTGATCACAGAACTAAACATTAATTGTAGTTTAGGTATAAATGATCTTTACTTGATTACATTTATAATGTGCACGCAGAATAAAGTCCAGACCAGTAATATAAATATTTGGTGCTTTAATAAGGGCCAACTTCACAAAGCTGAAAACAGATATGAGCCATATCAGCTGGTAGGAACAATTTAATCAGAAAAAATCTGAATGATAATTGGGAATAATTTAAAAACACCTTATTAGATGTCCAAAAAGCCACAATCCGACAAGTGAGAAAGAGGATTGATCTGGTTTAGAGGGGAACTGAAGACAACTGTAAAAAATGAAACATATAACAAATGGAAGAAGTGGGAAGTTGGTAGTAATGAATATAAATCAGAAGTTAAGAATTGTAGAAGACTGGTAAAGGAAGTCAAGGGACACAAGCAGAAATCCATGGCCCATAAGGCTAAAGACAGTAAAGAGGTTTTTTAAAAAATATATTAGGAACAAAAAGAATCCTGACAATGGTACTGAGCTATTACTAAAGGGAAATGATAGAATTATCAATAATAATAATACAGAAAAAGCAAAAGTGTTCAGTAAATATTTCTGTTCTATATTTGGGGGAAAACAGATTATATACTCTCATCATATGGTGATGATAACACTATTTCCATTCCACTAGTATCTCTGAAGTATGTTAAACATAAGCTACTACAGTCAAACATTTTAAAATCAGCAAGTCCAGATAACTCACATCAAAGAGTTTGAAAAGAGCTGGCTGATGAGCTCACTGGACCATTGATATTGCGGCCTAATCAGGGTGGAGTAGAGCAGAAGAATTACTTCTTGAGTCTTTCTTACAACACTCCTGCTAATACATCCCAGAATGTTCATATTTAGTTTGTGAATCCCAGATCCCTCTCTGCTGTACTCCCTCCCAGGCAGTCATCTCCCATCTTGTATGTGTGCAACTGATAGTTCCTTCCTAAGTGGAGTACTTTGCATTTGTCCTAATTGAATTTCACCCTGTTTACTTCAGACCATTTTGCCAGTTTGTCCAAATCATGTTGAATTTTAATCCTATCCTCCAAAGCACTTGTAACCCTCCCAGCTTGGTATCATCCGCAAACTTTATAAATGTACTTTCTATGACATTATCTAAATAAACGATGAAGATATTGAACAGAACTGGACCCAGAACTGATCCCTGCGGTACCCCATTTGATATGCCCTTCTGGCTTGACTGTGAGCCACTGATAACTACTCTCCGGGAATGGTTTTCTAACCAGTTTTGTACCCACTTTATAGTAGCTCCATCTAGGTTGTATTTCCCTCATTTGTTTATGAGAAGGTCATGCAAGACAGTATCAAAAGCTTACTAAAGTCAAGATATACCACATCTACCACTTCCCCCGTATCCACAAGGCTTGTTACCTTGTCAAAGAAAGCTAGTAGGTTGGTTTGACAAGATTTGCTCTTAACAAATCCATGTTAACTGTTACTTATCCTATTATCCTCTTGGTGTTTGCAAACGGATTGCTCCATTATCTTTCCTGGTACTGAAGTTAAGCTGACTGCTCTGTAATTCCCTAGGGTTGTCCTTATTTCCCTTTTTATAGATGGGAACTATATTTGCCCTTTTCCAGACCTCTGGAATCTCTCCTATTTTCCATGACTTTTCAAAGATAACCAATAATGACTCAGGTATCTCTCCAGTCAGCTCCTTGAGTATTCTAGGCTGTATTTCATCAGGCCCTGGTGACTTGAAGACATTTAACTTGTCTAAGTAATATTTAACTTGTTCTTTCCCTATTTTAGCCTCTGATCCTACCTCATTTTCACTGGCATTCACTATATTAGACGTCCAATCGCTACTAACATTTTAGGGGAAAACCAAAACAAAAAAAGTCATTTAGCACTTCTGCCATTTCCACATTTTGTATTATTGTCTGTTCATACCCCCCGCCCCCCATCATTGAGTAATGGGACTATCCTGTCCTTGGTCTTCCTCTTGCTTCTAATGTATTTGTACAATGTTTTTTGTCACCCTTTGTGTCTCTAGCTAGTTTAAACTCATTTTGTGCATTGGCCTTTCTAATTTTGCCCTACATATTTGTGTTATTTGTTTATATTAATCCTTTGTAATTTGACTTAGTTTTCACTTTTTGTAGGAATCTTTTTTGAGTTTCAGATCATTGAAGATCTTCTGGTTAAGCCAGGGTGGTCTCTTGCCAGATTTCCTATCTTTCCTATACAGTGGGATAGTTTGCTCTTCTGCCCTTAATAATGTCTCTGAAAAACTGCCAACTCTTTTGAACTGTTCTTCCCCTTAGACTTGCTTCCCATGGGATCTTACCAACTCCCTGAGTTTGCTGAAGTCTGCCTTCTTGAAATCCAATGTCTTTATTGTGCTGTTTTCCCTCCTATCATTCCTTAGAACAGTGGTGCCCAAATTTTTCCACAGCTGGGGCTGGGAGTGAAGCCAGGGCCACAGCTGAGGCCAGGGGCTGGTGGTGGGGCTGTAGCAGAGCTGAGGATAGAGTTGGGATGGTGGTGCTCCATTCCTGCCCCCCTGGACATTCCTCTGTGCCACCTTAGGGCGGCGCGCCCCCCAGTTTGGGGACCACCACCTTAGAATCATGAACTCTACCATTTCATGATCACTTTCACCTAAGCTGCCTTCCACTTTCAAATTCTCAACCAGTTCCTCCCTATTTATCAAAATCATATCTAGACCAGCCTCTCCCCTCGTAGCTTTCACCACCTTGTGAAATAAAAAAATGTCTCCAATACATTCCAAGAACTTGGATAATCTGTGCTCCGCTGTATTATTTTCCCAGCAGATATCTGGGTCGCTGAAGTCCCGTATCACCGCCAAGTCCTGTGCTTTGGATGATTTAGTTAGCGGTTTAAAAAAAAGCCTCCTCCACCTCTTCTCCCTGGTTTGGTGGTTTGTAGTAGACCCCTACCATGACATCACCCTTGTTTTTTACCCCTTTTATCCTTACCCAGAGACTTTCAGCAAGTCTGTTTCCTATTTCCATCTCAACCTCAGTCCAAGTGTACACATTTTTAATATACAAGGCAACACTTGCTCCCTTTTTTCCCTGCCTGTCCTTCCTGAGCAAGCTGTACCCTTCTATACCAATATTCCAGTCATGCGTATTATCCCCAAGTCTCTGTGATGCCAATTATGTCATAGTTGTGTTTTTTAACTAGCATTTAAAGTTCTTCCTGCATATTCCCCATACTTCTCGCATTAGTATACAGACATCTAAGATACTGTTTTGATTTGCCCCATCATCGAGTGGGTGCATTTCCAGTGGGGTCCCACAAGGATCTGTTCTTGGCCTTAAACTAGTTAATGTTTTAATCAGTCACCTAGAGAAAAACATAAAATCATCACTGAGAGAGTTTGCAAATGACACAAAAATTTGCGGGGGGACGGAAGTAAGAAATAATGAAGAGGATGGGTCAGTGATTCAGAGCAATCAGGATCACTTGGTAAACTGGGTATGCTGGGAAAAGAGACAGGGAAGCCATCACAAAAATTAAATCCGAGCACAGACATTTGCCTGTACACTCTTCTCTCCCTTTGTTTGTTGGTGTCATCATCAGCTGTTGTAAAGAAACCAGGGAAGTCCAAACACAGGGTTTGGCAAGTGAAAAAGAAACTGAATTTAAATTGTTTGGTTTTAAATGCCTATGTAATTACTCGTCTTCTGAGTGGGACGTCTGGAATATCTTGACTCCTTTTTAGGAAACAATGAGTGATGCACAGACTTCAGATATTCTTTCCTAGCCTAATTCATTCACAATACTGTATGTGCACAGTTCCTGTTCATGCCTGAAAAAACAGCAGAGCTTTACAGACCTATTTCCACTTTTAGAGTCCCAGCTAAAACAGCATCTCTGTCTCAGCAATTTGCCATTAATATCTTACCTGTCTGTTTCCCCAGCACATCCTGGCTCAAATTCACAGGTGACTAAGGTTGTCTACAACAATGTAACTGAAGCCTTCTTCAAACCCCTTCTGCACCTAAATTACACTAACTCTCAGACTTAATTTCCAGCACGTAATATAACCCCTCCACTCCTTACACATTACCACTCACTTCGGCCCACCGATTCTAATGAATCAAGGGGAGGGAAAATTATGAGGGTAAACTACTTTTTATCTGCCTATCATCTATGCAGCGGTATACAAACACCCCAGGTTTACTTTTAATTTGCATCCTCTTGTTAACTGCTTGTCCTGCTATACACACATCTCTTCCATGCTCTCAGCAATGGGGTATTCCCTCAGATTCAGCAGAGCAGAGTGCAAGGTGAATGTGTAAAAGTGAGGGAGTTATTGGGCAGTGTCATAAATATAAAGGGAAGGGTAAACCCCTTTAAAATCCCTCCTGGCCAGGGGAAAGCTCCTCTCACCTGTAAAGGGTTAAGAAGCTAAAGGTAACCTCGCTGGCACCTGACCAAAATGACCAATGAGGAGACAAGATACTTTCAAAAGCTGGGAGGAGGGAGAAAAACAAAGGGTCTGTGTCTGTCTGTATGCTGCTTTTGCCGGGGATAGAACAGGAATGGAGTCTTAGAACTTTTAGTAAGTAATCTGGCTAGGTATGTGTTAGATTATGATTTCTTTAAATGGCTGAGAAAAGAACTGTGCTGAATAGAATGGCTATTCCTGTCTGTGTGTCTTTTTTGTAACTTAAGGTTTTGCCTAAAGGGATTCTCTATGTTTTGAATCTAATTACCCTGTAAGGTATCTACCATCCTGATTTTACAGAGGTGATTCCTTTACTTCTATTTACTTCTATTTCTATTAAAAGTCCTCTTGTAAGAAAACTGAATGCTTTTTTCATTGTTCTCAGATCCAAGGGTTTGGGTCTGTGGTCACCTATGCAAATTGGTGAGGATTTTTACCAAACCTTTCCCAGGAAGTGGGGTGCAAAGGGTTGGGAGGATTTTGGGGGGAAAGACGTGTCTAAACTACGTTTCCCAGTAAACCCAGTTAGAGTTTGGTGGTGGCAGTGGATATTCCAAGGGCAAAGGATAAAATTAATTTGTACTTTGGGGAAGTTTTAACCTAAGCTGGTAAAAGTAAGCTTAGGAGGTTTTCATGCAGGTCCCCACATCTGTACCCTAGAGTTCAGAGTGGGGGAGGAACCTTGACAGGCAGTAAGCTGGTGTGAGTGTAAGGTGTCTGTCTAACTGAGTCTTAGGGTATGCTGACACTGGAGCTGGAGGTGTAATTCCCAGCTCAGGCAGACATACCCACACTAGCTCTGGTCAAGCTAGCACGCTAATAGCAGCATAGCCACAGCTGTGCAATAAGCAGGTTGGGCTAGCTGGCCTGAGTACAATCTTGTCTGAGACCCTAGGTATGTACTCAGGCAGCTAGCGCCTCCTGCTGCTGTGGCTACACTTCTATTTTTAGCAGGTTAGCTCTATTAGAGTTAGCACAGGTATATCTCCTTGAGCTGGAATTGCACCTTCCAGCTCCAGTGTAAACAAAGACAGTCTAAGTCTACTTGGTGTACCTGAGACATTGAGATGTCCAGATGGATATATAACTTACATTTTTTATTCAGCTCTGTTCTCTGTCCACAGTTCTCATCCACTGGATAGAAACTCTCCCACCATATGCTCAATAGGCAACCAGGTGGCCTCCATCTGCTCCCCCTCGTAGATCTGAGTGGAGACAGAGCAGCCAGGAGGAGCCGACAAGCAGCAGTGGTAGCGGTGGCAGCAGCAGCAGAAAGTGGAGTCTACAAGGACAGAAGGTCAGAGGGGCCCAGTACTAGCCCAAAGCAGGTCAGTCCTGAAGCCAGGTGGCCTTGTGGTCAAGCCATGGCCCCACAGGTTTTTTCAGTCTCTCTGCTCTGCAGAGGCCCTATCAGGTTGGTACAGGTGGTCCCAGCCCTACCAGATGTCCACTCTTCTCCCCTCAGGGTTCTGTCTTGGCAGCAGGAAGGGGGAGCAAGGGATGGGGACCTGGGCCCACCCACTCCACCGAGTCCCACCTCAGGCCCCTAAAAGAGGGTGACAGTGCCCAGACCACTTGAGTGACGCTCTCCCCTGAATCTCTTCCAACTGGGCTGGAGTTACTCCATTTGGGGTGTGGTCACAATCTTAGTAGTGGCAGTTTAGCCTGTCTGAGGAACAGCATCCCACTTGTAAGGGGCCTCTCTTGGCTCTCCCAACTCTGAAGGGATGGGGGAATGGAATGGGCAAGGATTCAGATCACCGCTTCCAGAGTGGCCTTACCCATGCTATCGGCCCTTTTCCCACAACACCAAATATCAGCCTCCCTTCCTGTTGCAGTCTGCAACTCCTTCCTCCTTTCCCCTGGTGTGTCAGTGCCCTTTAAAACTGTCCCTCTACCTGGCGTATGCCCTGCAATTGCTGAAGGGTGGGGACTCCCTAACCCAATACTGCCACATGCCTTGCTCTGGCTTAGTGTGGGGGTCTGTAAACCCCATCACATAGCCCCAGTATCCCCCCGGCAACCAGCCATCCACCTCTCAGCAGGTTCCAGTTTCCATCCAGTCCTCAGTCACCCCACCCAGATGTGCCCCAGACATCTCCCTGTTTCCAAAAAGAAACACCCCCATTACCCCCCACCCAACAGTCAGATGTTCCCAGCTTCTCCACCAAGCTATCCAACTACTCCTCTGGACAATCCCACAAATCCAGCTTCCTTTAGCTACCCCTGCTCCCAGTTCCTTCCAGCCATTAGCTCCTCCAGTGGGAGTTTATAAAGAGTTCACCTGCAGTTCTGCTGCATCCCAACATCCTGAACACTACTAGTGGAATGCATACAATGAGCACAGGTATATCACTAACATACACTTCCCAGCAGAAACTAGAGAAATCATAAGCTGTACCCAAATTCTTTCAAGTGGTGGAAAATGTTTTAGATCATTAAACCGCTGTGGGGACAAATAAAATGCAATAGCATCAGTGTTACAAGTTCTTTTTACTTTTATATTCCTCATAAAATGCTATACAACTGAATATTTAAAGACTACCTACCAAAGATGTAATAATTCTGGGAAGCAGTAAGTGAAAGAAAAATACAGAGGACATAAGAGTGCAGCACAGATGAGAGATTAAGTTCAGGTGGCCGCTAAGGGAGCCTATGTTGGTATAACTCCATTTTCTTCTGCACTTGTCAGCATGTATACTGTGTTGGTAACTCTCACAGTCTTATCACAAGTCTCAGAGTCCTTGATATTTTTCTTAAAGCCCCACCTCCTGGAGTCAAAGCAGGAAACTCTGTTTTCATTTTTTAAGAAAAGGTAAGTTTCTAGGTCTCATGTTTGACGAGAAAAGTTGAGAACTTGATCCATGAACACAGAGAAAATAAGCATTAAATAAAAATCAACTTCTTTTAAAAATCTCATGAATTTTGAACACATGATGTTGGCAATACTGTGGACATTATGCACTTACTAGTATGTAACCCTACAGCCCCATACATACCACTTCTGTATTTGGCTGAGACTAAGGGACTCAGCTGGTGTGACTGTCATGGAAAGGATGCAAAAAGAATTCATTATTCCAAAGAGCAATGAATCAAAGAATGGGATAACACTGATGCAATGTAATTGCTATTCTAATAAAAATATCTAGTGCTACTCTGCTCTGCATGTAAAGAGGTATAGCCTTGGGTTTCTCTCATGTAAAGATAAGTCTTTTAGATTAGATCAATCTATAGCCTTAGGTCACTTCTCACTTTAGAGATGTAGTCCAAGAACAAAGGGGTGCACGATTAAACGCTTTAAAAGAGACCTATTAATTTTAAAGTTATACTCTCAACTTGTTGAGGCGCTAAATGTCGCATTCTTAGACTAAGGCAAGTCCTGTAGCAGGGGTCTCAAAGTCCTGGCCCACGGGCTATCTGCCGCCTGAGAACCTCCCCACTGCGGCCCACGGAGGAGAGACACATTACAGCCAAGCTGCCCATAATGTCTGCTTCAGCTGCCACCCCCCACAGCTTCCATTGGCTGGGGAGAGGGACAGAGGCAGCATCATTAGTTGCCAGGCAGAGTCAGCCATGGAGGCAGCATCATTAGTTGCCAGGCAGAATCAGCCATGGAGGCAGCATCATTAATTGCCGGGCAGAGTCAGTCATCGAGGCAGCATCACTTTTTTTCCCCACAATGAATATAAACAAGTCAAAATACCAAACACAACTATCTGATGCACACCTTGCAGCAATCCTGAAGGTTTCAACTGCTCAGTCACTGAGGCCAAACATCAGCAAACTGACAGAACTGAAGTGTTGCCAGGTGCCTGGCAAACACCAAAAACTCTCTGGCAGGCGAAGAATTGTATCAAGTTGTATGACAGTTTCATTATTTCTAAGAAATTCAAAATAAAAAATACAATATAAATGTTTTCTTTTCTGAACATCCTCTTCAGTGACATTATTGGCCTGCTGGGAGGATTTGAGGACTGACACTGGCCCTAAGATAAATTGAGTTTGAGACCCGTATCCTATAGTGAACTCCAACAGGGATTATATATTTTAATATTGTTAAATTGAATACTGTAGTGTAGAAATCAAAATGTTTGGTCCTCAGCAGCATCCCAAACATTATATCGTTGGACCCACAAAAATGCTTTGCTTACTACATTATTTTAGTTTAAATCTAGCTATTAGAATCTCAAATGGCATGGTCCTAATAAACATAGTTACATCCTTTCTATGAAATGTGTAATTTCAGAGAAACAAGGTGGGTGAGGTAATATCTTTTCTTAGACCAACTTCTGTTGGTGAGAGAGACAAGCTTTCAAGCTACACACAGCTCTTCTTCAGGTCTGGGAAAAGTAAATACAAGGTGGAACAGACAAACACTACGCTCTCAAATGAACTCACACAGAAAAATGATAAAAGACAAACACCCTATCACCCATGTGCAAACACTTTTCACAGAACGATCACTCCACATCTGACCTCTTAGTCCTCATCCTCAAAAGAAACCTGCACAACACCTTCAAAAGACAAGTCTGGGAGCTTAAATTCATAACTTTGGTAGACACTAAAAATCATAGGTTTCAGAGTAGCAGCCATGTTAGTCTGTATTCGCAAAAAGAAAAGGAGTACTTGTGGCACCTTAGAGACTAACAAATTTATTTGAGCATAAGCTTTCGTGAGCTATGCATCCGATGAAGTGAGCTGTAGCTCATGAAAGCTTATGCTCAAATAAATTTGTTAGTCTCTAAGGTGCCACAAGTACTCCTTTTCTTTTTACTAAAAATCATGGATTTAATAAAGACAGTGGATTTATGGCTAATTACAACAATTTGTAACCCACTCACCCCCACCCCCCTTTTTGTCCTATGACTGCAGAGGTATTATCTGGCCACTTCACCTTGAATGGTTGTCATAAATATAAAGGGAAGGGTAAACACCTTTAAATCCCTCCTGGCCAGAGGAAAAACCCTTTCACCTGTAAAGAGTTAAGAAGCTAGGATAACCTCGCTGGCACCTGACCAAAATGACCAATGAGGAGACAAGATACTTTCAAAGCTGGAGGGGGGCAGGGAGAAACAAAGGTTCTCTCTGTCTGTGTGACGCTTTTGCCGGGAATAGAAAAGGAATGGAGTCTTAGAACTTAGTAAGTAATCTAGCTAGATATGCGTTAGATTCTGTTTTGTTTAAATGGCTGATAAAATAAGTTGTGCTGAATGGAATGTATATTCCTGTTTTTGTGTCTTTTTGTAACTTAAGGTTTTGCCTAGAGGGATTCTCTATGTTTTGAATCTGATTACCCTGTAAAGTATTTACCATCCTGATTTTACAGAGGTGATTCTTTTACTTCAATTAAAATTCTTCTTTTAAGAACCTGATTGCTTTTTCCTTGTTCTTAAGATCCAAGGGTTTGGGTCTGTGTTCACCTATGCAAATTGGTGAGGATTTTTATCAAGCCTTCCCCAGGAAAGGGAGTGTAGGGTTTGGGAGGATTGTGGGGGGACGTTTCCAAACGGGCTCTTTACCTGTTATATATTTGTTAGACGCTTGGTGGTGGCAGCAATAAAGTCCAAGGGCAAAAGCTAAAATAGTTTGTACCTTGGGGAAGTTTTAACCTAAACTGGTAAAAATAAGCTTAGGGGGTTTTTCATGCAGGTCCCCACATCTGTACCGTAGAGTTCAGCGTGGGGAAGGAACCTTGACAATGGTCAATTACAATGTGTGTTAACTGCTTATGCTAAACAATCTCTACCGCATTATAATTTAGGCCTGGTCTACACTACAAAGTTAGGTTGGCAGAAACCACTTTGCATCGACCTAGTAAAGCAGGTGCCTACACTTAAATCTGTCTCCCCCGACATGATGGTCCCATTATGCCAACATAGTAACATCACCTCCCCAAGCAGCATAGACCCATGGTCTATGTACAGAGGTCAAGGCAGTGCGAGAGTAGACACTGTGTTACTTATGTTGACTTTAACAATCATAGAATCATAGAATATTAGGGTTGGAAGAGACCTCAGAAGATCATCTACTCCAATCCCCCGCTCAAAGCAGGACCAACACCAACTAAAACATCCCAGGCAAGGCTTTGTCAAGCCGGGCCTTAAAATCCTCTAAGGATGGAGATTCCACCACCTCCCTAGGTAACCCATTCCAGTGCTTCATCACCTTCCCCGCAAGGTCACCACCTCACATTACATGTGCGTCTTCTCCAAGGTCCAGGTTCTTCCAGCAGTGTCCCACAATGCCCGATACTGACCACTCTGGTCACAATTGTGAGCTCCACTGCCCCAGGGTAGACCAGAAGCCGCCCCCCCCCCCTTTAAAAACC